ATCGGGCATTCAAAATAAAAGTTTGACTTTTCCCCCCCAAAAAAAAAAGAAGAATTGCAATTTTTTTTTTCTTCACTCACACATCCGCGACCCACTCGAAACGGGTTCGCGACCCACTTTTGGGTCGCGACCCACCAGTTGAGAACCACTGCCATAGAGTATAGCAGTCATTAAGTATTTTTGTAGGCCAGACCAGGAAGTAAAAATTGCATGGTTCCCTCTGTAAAAAAGCAATTGGATTTCCCCATTGGAATTTGATATATTGAAGGAAATAAGCTCTGTGGCCAACACATGTTTATGATATTTACATAGGATAAACTCCACATAAAACACTACTTTCTCATTTTTGTAGCAGAAATTCATCGCCAGAATAAAAAGCCAGTGCTAGGCTTTAAATGAACAACATCATGGTCGCATGGCTGTGCGTCACTAAGCTAAAGGGGGACTCGTGTCAGCGTGATGACATTTGGTAGATTCATTTAGTCACTTGCTAGCAACCGCTGTTTATATGACACATAGAAGCTTTAGACATTCACAAGTGCGGCGATTACTGCCGTATTTAATGTCGTAGAACAGAATGTGCAAATCTCTTCAGCTTGCGTTATCCACAGACCTGATTTCGGGCTTCTAAACACAAACACATTAAAAAACTGTCGACTTTAAGGCATAGGAACCGGAAGTGGTGAACTGTTTTTCTAGTAGTCATGACTGCAACACTCTATTGACATCAATAAATCCCAATGTTACAACACAGTGTGGCCATTTGTCTTACCTTATGGCTGTGCCTCTGGCTTTGGGCTTGTCAGACACCTGTCAATACACAGAAATTGTGAGTTTTATTATTGCCTTGATTGAACATAAAGTCAATAACTTCAGTATGCAGAGCATGGACTGAGTTGCTCTTTTTACAGGATTTCCAAGCATGCCTTTGCTAGCAGTGAAATATGGTAATATGATGAATGTTTGTGACACAACTGCATGAATGATCAACATGATGATGGATGTCTGTGTGAGTGTTGTCGGATCATGTTCACATTCAGAGGACGTTTGAAAAATCCATGACTGACAGTGAGGATGAGGGATGGAACAGTGGTCTTCTTTTATATTGATCCTCTAGTGGTTTAATTTAATGTATTAGGTCTACAAACACAACAGGGGAATAGCAGGAAAATGTTCGTACTGCAGCATTTAGTCAGCTTTCTAAAAAACTATTTGTACTCCTTATGCAATACTTTCTTCAATGGCATCTTCTGGATACTAAATCATGTTGCTGGTGAGACAAATATTACAGCCTCTGCTATTATTACTACGACTGTACCATTATCACTTCTGTTAAACATCAACAGAATATTACGGAGCTATTTGGTTATTTGTAATTATTACACGGCTTAATTCTGTTTGGTCAATTTGGACATTACGGATATCAGGTTTGTTGATTTGTCAGGACATCAGACAAATCAACATAATTAGACAAACAGGAAGTAGTCAGACAGAGACAGACAGACAGACACATACTTTATTGATCCCAAACTAGAACATTCTTTAAATTGGGAATGTTTGGTTAGGGGAAGCAATACTAGAATTTTGAAGTCAATACAACTATTTAAAGTGAGTCAAGTCATTGGTTTATTTAGCCTTGTTATAGTATATATAAGTATTTTAACTGTATTTTCTGGGGTATTCAACCATACCATACAGTAACTGACGGAATTTCACAAAAAGTCAAGTAAAGAAGTAATTGATTTATACAGGCTTTTCAACAGATCAAATTAAATATGTATAGTACAGTACTGTATATATATATATATGAGGTACCTCACAGGGAATAAAGCTACAGAATAAATCAGCGACTGACTGTACTTATCGATACAACTTAAGGACACCATCTAGCGTTTCCCTTTCACCCACTTAAAGCTCCACTGACCTTCACTTTTCTTCGCTCAATCTTCTCTCTTCATTCATCTAGGAGAAGAGGAGTAATTTTCCTATCATTAAAATGAGAAAAGAACCCTCCCTTCTCTTTATCCTCTCCTTCCCTTGTTTCCTCCCTGCCCTCCCTTCACCCCAGCCTCTGTTCCCCATCCTGTATTTCTATTCATACTTCCCCTCCTTTCAGTGAAAGAATGGGGTGATTACATTTGTCAGTGAAGCTTTTCCTCCTCTCATTTTCTTTTCCTCCCTCCGCCAACTCAGAGTCAATTTTGTACTACATCCATTGCAATACCAAAACTCAAATTCCTGCAAATATCAGTCATGAATTCATCTCCGAGCACTGACACCTGATGATTCTAATGAATTAGTGAAAGCTTTTCTTCCTGGCCTGTGGCCCGTTGTTTCTCTCCGGGTCTCTCTAAGAATAAAGTGATTAACTGGACCAGTGAGGGTTCTGATCGATCGATGCGTAGCTGCGGGCTAGAACAACAGACCTCCTCAGATCTTGGGCTTTGGGAGACTTGCAAGGGCTCACGGAGAGGATCTACCAGTGCATATATTTAGATAGCTGGTGGTTTTCCTGGGATTTAAATAAAGAACAACCCAACCGGTATTTACTCACCCAATCTCCTCGGTAACAACACGTCTGCGAGTATTGTTCCCTGACAAAGAAGGCAAGCTGCTATTTCTTTTCTTTTAACCGAAAGCAAGAAAATTCAAGCCTTAGAGCCGCTCTGATTTATATTTCATTCGTCAAATCTCCATATCCTGTTCTTCCTGCTTCTCTCATGTGGGTGCAATACGTCTCAGTGTTTCACATGGGGACAGTTTTAACAAGGTTTTAAAACACCCCCGCACCGTCTTCAAGTGTAGCCGAACAATGGATTCTTCGCTCGTCTCTTTACTTTGCGCAAGACACTTTATAAAGCATTTCTAACACCTGAACAACGGGTTCAAAATCCAGAATTTTCTGATGCAACCGTTGCGCGGAGGTTGCACTGCTGGAAATAAGGCAGCATCTGGATTCTCACTAGTGCAAAACAAAGAGACTCTATATCCCGAATTGTAGCATCTCTCCATCGGCTGCCAGCTGGATTTAACACAGCCGGTCCATCTGGATGTGCACAGAAATGATATTACACTTGTGTGCATATCTTTTTATCCTTTTGAGCAAACAGTCATCCTAGTTAGGTTGTGAATTCCAACCCCGTATAGACTAAAGGAACAAATGTTCTCTTCCTTACATGAGATGAGTTTTCTCTATTGACTCACCTGCCTTTGACCCCATGTCCTTTCCACCTCTCCCACTCTTGACCTTCTGAACTGACTTGTCGAGGCCTTCCTGTACTTCACACACGCTCCTGTTTGCTGTAGTTTGTGCTGATCCTGTGCTACACGTTATCTCTGTTTCCAAGTCCATTCGAAGCCTCTTATCTTTTTTTCTGGATGTATTTGGATCAAATTCTCAACTGTAGTTGAGTGGATATTATGGTGACCCATACCACACAACCTGAGTTAAGACCTACTGTAAGGCACAGCTTTAACTTTAATGAAATTATTATAATTCTAAACACTGAATTTGAGCCTGTTTTAATTAACGTTGTACTAAATAATTGTGTCCTATGTATTTAAAAAAATCCTCCATTGCACAACTATCAAATTATTATTAATGAAGTGTAATTTCCGACTTGAAGAATACAGATTGTATGCCAGGGTTCGCGCTGTAAGACATGAAAGTCTGTTGACATTAGTTAAAAGTTGATAGTGACCAGATGGATTCATCATATCATCAAAGTCTGACAAAATGTGCTCGGATGTGTGCAGCACAAGCTACACTAACCAGTTTTCTATGGAATAATGTTTGATATTATATTCATTTTCTTAAGCTATTGACATTTCTTTAAAGCTTAAGCTGTAGAGCTTAACATTTTCGCCTTTGAATAATTTTCGTGAGGGACGGCTATCGTGTGCCTACCAAACCACACATCGTGAAATAAGTCAGTTATTTTGTGTGCTGCCCTGAAAGAAACACATGATTCAAACAGCCAATCAGATTTGTTTCACCTTCCTAAAGTATGTCTTATGTTAGGTCATTAGACTACACCCACCCACCCATCTGATACTTCATTCACATCAACGGTGTTTCAGGGCCGGTTCGGAGGTTTTCCTGTTCACACCGCAGCGGAGCAGCCTCTTAGCTCCGGAATCCGGTTCGTTTCAAGCACCAACAAATTGGGATCAACTCCTGAACAACAACAAAAAGCCAGCGTTTTATCCAGTTAGTACACAACGATGGAGAAACGTAACAAGCAGCAGCGGTCCACTGAAGAGACCAGCTACCTACTGTGAATCTGGTCTTCCGAAGAGGTACAGAGGAAGCTGGAGCACAATCGGCCATTGTTGTTGTTGTCGGTGTCAGCTGTGAGGGGTTTCCGTGCGGTTTGGCTTTATGAAGCAGGCACGCAAACGGTTATGTCATGACGCAAACGATGACGCAATGACGCAGCACCAGTCGGACTCTGGGCAGTGTGAAAAGAGCCGGAGCTAAACCGAAGAACCGGTTCTGAACCTGAAAAGCTCTAGCACGGAGCTTGAACCGGAGTTGCGTTGGTGTGAATGAGGTATAAGTATCTCCACCAACAGATAGAGAAATACCTTTGTAAAGGTGCACTATATTTGTTTTAGATCAAATCAGTGTAGAATGGGCTTTTTTTGGAGAGGGGATTTAAAGAGACAGGCGCTCAAACTGAGTATTTCAGGGAGAAGGTGAATATATGTTTATTTGGCTGGACAACATGAGAAAAATAGTGTTTTTTCAAAGTATCTAAACATGTTTGGATGAAACGAAAAACACAAATATGAACCTGAAAATGATCATCATATGGCCCTTTTAAGTTTGATGTATTATTTATTGTGTACCTTTCGAAAACATGACTTAATGTTCTTGCAGCTAGCCGACAGTGCCGCGGAGTCTAGTAGATATGCCTTTATTCCTTTTTAAGCTGGACATTTTTCCCGGCTGCATCTGTATTTTTAGACAGAGCTTTTAAGCTCGACTTTGCTCTGACCAAGGTGATCTGTCATTGTGAGCTCGCGGAGAGAAAAATGGGAGAAATGCAGGGAGATAGAGAGACAAAGAACAGTCCTGCAGCAGTAATTGGGTTTCTGTTTTTCCGTCAGTTTTCTAGAGTCATTAGAAACATCACTCTTTCCTACTATCTCTCGTTTCCTGTCCTCTCTTCCATCTCTCCTTCCTTTGCTCTTTCTTTCGATTCCCTCCCCTCCTCCGTCTCTTTGCTCTGTGCCAAAAACATATTCATCATACTCCTCTGCTGCCCTCACAGCGTTATGCCACAGCATACTAATGACATTGTGCATCTGTGTGTGTGTGTGTGTGTGTGTGTGTGTGTGTGTGTGTGTGTGTGTGTGTGTGTGTGTGTGTGTGTAGTTGTAGT